TAGTTACTTAGTAAATATTAATAGATAGATATTAAATATATAATTATATAAGTAATCTATTAAAAAATCTTATAATAATATTATTTTAGTAGTAGTTAAAAGCTTTATTTTTTAGTGGGTACGTATTTTGGTGGGGTGTTGCATTGGCTGAACTGTTGCACGCACTGACCACACGCAGTAATTCGACTTTCCATTTTCAACACCTGGCTTGCTTATGTCTCTTCACAGTCCATTCGTTTATGACTCAACGCCGTTGCGCATCGGAGGCTTGCTATTTCAGGAATTACCCGCAGCTTCCTTGACTTGATCAAGCTTTCTTGTCCGAAGCAGTCTGACCAAGAACAAGAGACGATGAGTTTATTTACGGCACGCTAGGAGCATTTCGTTATGCCTCGCTACATTCGCTATATGCTGACGCTGACAGTTCTGGCCTGATGACATAGCCTGGTTGCACAATTTCCTTGTGACGAAACCCAGCTTTCAATATCTACCGTCGTGTGTGACTTGATCTCCGTGCGGCCCTGATGTATATATTGGTATAGCACTCTGTTGATCTAATCTGCGCGCTACACTCACTCCAACGTCCCCTATGTGGCTCTCTAACCTCAGAAAGAACGCAACGACTGCCCACAGTGGTGTTGGCACTGAGGCCAGTAAACTGAGTCCAGAAAATCTTAACGAATCCGAGGCTCCATTGCCCATGGTCGCCGACTGGCCTATCGGTCCACAAAGAATAGCAAGAGCACCGCTGTGGCTTCTGGTCGACTTCCTGCTACTTCTAGTGCCCGTATTGTTCCTTGGTAAGCACATACTGCAATAAAACAACTTGTATTTGCTGACCGCCTGTCAAGCTCTTGCTGCCATCGCTTACAAGCTCGACGGTGAAAACATATCGGATCGTGGCCACAAGGTGCAGGAAGCGATTTTACTTGGCCCTACCTTGTTTCCTCTTGCATTCACAGCTCTCGCTGGCCGAAGTCTGAAGAAGATAGCCTTGTGGAGGGCCCAGGAAGGCACCACGCTTGGTGTAAGCAGATCGGAGGAAGCATTGGCGAGTTTTGTGCTAAGTGATGATTAGGTTTTAGAGCGGATTCTCGGTAGCCAGAGTCTTGTATCCACCGTCAGCCATGCAATCTCTCTCCGCTCGCTCAATTTCCTCGCCATCGGGTTACTTATATTGTGGGCGCTCTCTCCACTCGGTGGGCAGAGCGCCCTTCGGCTCTTGTACGAGACGAGCAACTCCGTGTTTGAAAGCCGCCTGGTCTTCTCCGTTGATCCAGATGCCACCAGTCCCTTGCCGGCCGGAGGATTCAACGTGGATGACTTCAATCGAGTCAACAGCATGGTATCCACTGCTCTTATGACTACAGACACGCTCGAGTGGTCACAAGCCGATATATGGAACCACCCTAAAATTCCTCGCCTCGAACAACTCGAACAGGAAGAGCGTAGGAATGAAACAACCCGCTCATGGTACACGATAAATCACCAAGCAAACCATAGCTACGCTGCCCTTACTGGCGTCAATATTGTGAACCTCTCCAAGACTGGCATTACAAACTTCACCGTTCCGTACGAATACATGTACTTCGATTGTAAATTTTCGCCTGCAAACAATATTACGACGCGTTTCGATGCAGAACATGGACACAACGTAACCGAACCGAATTACCATACCCAGATCGAGTATCTACGCGAACTAAATGCTGCTGGTATACTTCAATCGGAAGGTGGATTCAACCCAGCTAACAATTACACTATCGCGCCTGGAGAGTTTCCTCCTAGCTCATCGGTATATGACCCCGGCTTTTTTGTTTACACCACAGGCAAAGCAGGACACAAACAAGATGCGCTCCTCTACGGCAGTAGAGCGGTCGCACTGACTTACTATCTCTTCGAATGCTCCATGAGAAGTGTCATGGTAGAAGCCAACATGCTCTGCGAATCTGCAAGTTGCCGCGTCGGCCGATTACGACGAATTAATGTTCCTAGATCGAAACGAAATGGTTCCTTTCTTCCCTACGACATTGTGAACAATGGCATGTATACGAGAGAATTCCTGCAATATTTCGCGCGACTTGGTGGCAACACCAGCCAATTTTTGAGCAATCCGGTCGATGCCTACATCTACGGCAATACGCAATATAGGCCCAATAACTCAGTAAAGAACTGGGTAGAGTACATTGGCGATTCTCAACGATCAACTGACATGTCACATCGTATGACACGAGTAATGAATACTTTCTGGGATTCATCTCGCTGGCCAGTTGCCATGACGCGCAACGATCCTTGGGGCAAGAAATCAATCAACCAGACGAGTGACGAACCATTCAAGGAAATGACGATGATCAAGATGGAGGCGACAGTCACACATCAGAATCCTATCTATCGCGCCAGTGGCGGATGGGTCGGCTCTCTTATCATCTGCTCCAGCGTGCTGCTTCTACTTGGCATTTTCAGCCTTTGCCTGTCAATCTACATCACGACGCCAGACATCTTCGACTACGTCTCTTCCCTCACGCGTGATAACCCGAACGTCAATGTGCCGCATGGAGGATCGAGCTTGGACGGTGCAGAAAGAGCGCGCCTGCTGAAGAGGCTCCCAGTACAGCTTGGCGATGTGCATGCGGGTGAGGAGATTGGGTACATTGCTTTGAGAAGTGTTACTGATCGGAGTGACCGTGAGCGAGGAAAGGTGCGGAAATATAGGATGTACCACTGACGTCAGTGTTACCCGTTACTTCTGTATCATGGCATCTGGATACATACGGATCGTAAATTTCGCATTGATTCAGTACAACTATCTTTTGTTAGAAAAAGCAATTATATTGAGAGTGGCAAATTACATCTGAACACAGGGCCGGGTTCATAGTACAGGTGATGTGGTTTTAGGGTGACATACTCCAGCGGCCATGCTAGGTGTTTCTCTGATTATGCTAGAGTCGCAATAGGGATAGACACAAATTGCTAGGCTGAAGGAAGATTACCTGGGAAAGGAATTATTTACTTTTTTTTCTGTGGAATCATTGAACTACCACGCCGCATCAGTTCACGGAAACGGTGCTTCTTGAGTTGTTCTAACCCATGGGGGGATCACACTAGCCAGCGGTTTGGTAAGCAGAGAAACACTACAAGCGACCTACACTGTTTGTCAATTTGACAGAATTTCATATCTATTCAAACAATTGAAATGCTTGCTGTACTCGAGAAACAACAGGATATCAGCTCTTCGGAGTTGCATTTGGCATATGACACCGGGTTTCCCTATCAGCCATCATGATCCTAACAAGGAAGACGATATCATATCGAGACTAGCACGTTGCAAGAATTTGTATGCAGGCTATCGGGCTCGGATCAAGTGAAAATCGGTTAGGATTTGAACAGGAGTTTCGTGTTAGCCGCAGGTATTCCTACAAAGACACAACTACTATTTTTTGGCTGCAAGAGTGTTCCTGAAAATACAGTAAATTAGTTAAATAACTTCAGAACCAGTACTTTATGCCTTGTACAACTGAATCGAGAGGAAATGGCTGCTAAGACAGTTCCTCTTGTCAACTTTTGTGATAATCTCGAAGTAGTGAAGACGGACAAGACGCTACCTCTCGGACCGGGTAATAGCAAGTAACTTTCGCAGCTTACTAAAGCTATACGGATATGATGGAGCAGGAAATGAGATTCGGAGTCATGGTGTGGCACACTTAAAAGCCGCCTCCAATACTGCCTCGAGAACGACAATCATCCCCCACAGCAGCAGATTGATATTCGACTCTTTTTCGTTCCATAGCCCTCTCATAGCCATGTTATTCATTAAGGCGAGCGTGGTTGTTCTTTACCCATGTACAAGCAAATCAACCTTCGACCTCAACTATCATATCTCGACGCATATGCCGCTTGCTACGAAAGCCTGCACGAAGTACGGCCTCGAGACCTGGATAATAACAGAGCTCCATAGGAATGCTCCATATAGCATTCATCTTCTGGTGGAATGGGTTGACATCAAAGAGTTCAACAACGGTTCGCAGGATCCCGCCACATAGGAAGTCATGGCCGATGTGGAAAATTTCAGCAATGAGAAGCCGATTATGCTCTCCGGAAACATGGTTGGAAAGAATCACATACTCATAGGTGCTATTGAACAAGGCAGAGTGGGAGATGGAACATGTGGGCTAGAGGAAGTAACAGCTGAAATCAAGTGCATCTTCTGCACAGATCTCGGCTTTAGTCCGTTCGGTTTGCGCTACATAAGATTCAAGTAAAATTCGCACAGAAGGCCACCAAACTGATCTGTTTTACGCTTAAATAGTTATCTTCATAATTGCAGGTCATGTAGCAAATTCTTGCCCTGAATCGTCGACAACAACCATTGAAGCGTTGCGCGTACGGTCACTCTCAAAACCGAAAATACGAGTGATTATCTAGCTTATTACCGCAATACTAGCTATGAGCTAGGCCGAAATACAACAATCTCTCTCTAGTTACAGCAAAAGAAATGGAGAGTAGGCCGAGTCATATTCTACAGCTATCTAGCCTCGCACCTACATGTTGACTAAACATATGTGAACAGACGCATCTCTGCTCCATTTTCTGATATCATGAATTGAGTGGTAGGAAAGAAGCCAGGTGTTTGAAGAGCTGTAGATCTTATAATCCTGAATCAGGTAGATTCAGTTTATGAATACTCGAAGTTTTTTGCACAATATCCAGTCATCACTTCGGCCTCGCTGCAAGCATCTGCTACAGACTGTTGAATTGCATTCCATGTCCCATGCTTCGAAGCCTGGGACTGCTAGGATGCGTTATCGAGCTCGAGCGAGCAGATAGAAGTGCATGCTGCTGTTGTCTTATTGTACACGGTACTTCTCATCCACATCGCGTACTTCCAGTCGCCGCAACAGTATGTGTTACCTACGAGTTAGTGTTCGATAAAGTGTCTGCCTAAATATCGGGCATTGTCCGCAAATACGGCAATGTGTGTACCTCAGGATGAGCACTGTTGTTCCATCAGTGGCAGGGCTTAGAGGCGTGCGAAGTGGGTGGCAACCAGACTATCACTGGCACTAAAACATCGCCACTTCTGTCTCAAATGTCACTATGTTGTGTGTGTTGATCATTAGCGCTGTATCGCTTTCCGTATCTTCATAGCGACTCCAACATCAATGCATTTACTGAGTCATACACAATACTAAAGCTCTTGTAAAATGCAGTAATCATTACGAGTTTCAATATTGGCCACGCAGCAAAACTTATCATACTTCAGGGAAACATCTTTCCTCGTGGATGCTGTAAATCTTGCAATCCAGAAATGTATTCTCACGCGCTGTCCAACCTTGCTCAGCAATCTCAAGTCGACTCGTGGTATGCAGCTGAAAGCTTGTAACCTCACGAAACTATCATTACTTCGTCAACTACGAGAGTTCCTGCTGTCAAAATTCTCAGAAAGTAAGAATGAGATGATTAGAGTGATGAACAACTAAGGTCGCGTCAAGCGGAGGTCGGCTCGGCATCGTCGATGATTGGCCCGCTCGCGTCGAGGATGACGTAGTATACACTTCGAGGGCGGCAGACTGCGCATTTCGTTCTCAGCAGCGTGGCAGAGAGACTTAGTTTCGCATGCCTGGCACGGAAGCGGGAAATCAAAAGCTAGACAACCTAGATTAGAAATATTAGTAACGTTGTAGCTTGCTAGTATAAAATATCTGGAATTGCAGCTTATGCGATGTTGTAGTTATTTCGACCTAGCTTCTATGAATTTCGAGATGTAAGACACACAATACAGGATACACAATACAGGATATTGTAGCTAGCGCTGTGAGAATAAGCTCTAAGGTAACCGAAGACCTGAAATTCCGCTTGCTGACATTTCGGTACAAAATGGAGGGAAACAGTATATGTCCTGACTTCGAAGCGTTGGTGGAGACTTGCCATAGAAGACTTACGTCTACAACCTCATAGACGATCTCGAGCGTTTCGCGAGATCAAACCGTACGACTTAGGTGCCAGTTAATAGATGTCTGTAACACCGCCCTTTATCTGCGAAAAGCGTTACCAAACGGCTAGAGCAAGGTCGGAACTAAAACTGAGTTTAGGGTTCGAGCGAAACTGTGACAGATGCGTGCCTTCGGCGGATAGAAGCGGAGATATGACCGTAAAACCAACATATATGTCTGTTTCAACTTGCCTCATATAGGTTAGTTTTGTACTTATACTGCGATACGTAAAATAACCTCAACGAGATCGATATTAAACTGCACCTGTTCAGAAGATCATCCTTCGAGGACTGCCCTCTATTCAAATATATCACGATCTCCGGAAGCCTACAGATGTCACGCTGGTGTTAGCTAAATCAACAGTAGAATTAGCGTTGAAAATCCATTTGCAACTCCTTTACGTACTGTATAGTCCCTAGGAAAAGGGTATATAATACATAAGTATATACCTAGGATAGAGCATAATGATAAAGCTATGGAAAGTCCCTTAGGCGATAGGGTGCTTCTCCTTTATCTACTTCAACGTGTCATATATTCGTATTAGAATAAGTAGTCAAGTAAGCGTATTATATAGTCTCCAGTGAAAATTTACAAACGAACACGCACGGTACGTGTATGTAAGCCTTGTAGTGGATCCTCTAGGACAGCGACTCTACCCGAACTATAGCCCCGAGAATGTAAGACTAAGCGTTGGCATATTCTGCTGTCCACGTTCAGAGGACTTTGAGGTCAAGAAGGCTAGAGAAGCCAAGCAAGAAACAACAGCAACAAGATACGCTGGCGGTTTAGCGCGAGGCTGCTTCGAATGAACATAGTATAGCATTCTGCCATGGTTATAAGGTTATCGAAACGAGGTGGAGATTATATAGGTGGAAATTTTGAACGAGCCGCGTTCTCGTCTTTGTAGCAGATTTGGTACCATCATGTTTATAATACTCTAGGTATGCCGTAAATAAAACAAAAAACCGGCTTAGAGTCATACCTGATGTGGCTCTTTTACGGCCCCTTTCAAACAATTCCATGTGTCATCTTCCTGAGGTAAGCAGCAGCCAGGCTATCGCGACTCCCTGCTCGCATGAATAGGCCTTGAAACTGAACCAATATTACATGCTCACGATAATGAAGCAATATGTCATTCGAGGACTTTAAATGCACACTCAACGCCTGCGCGAGCGGTTGGTTGAGACTTGGGGGTTCTGAGGGCAGGCTAATGATACCAGCTTCAGCTAGAGCTTTCGCAAGTCGGTCCTACATGGCCCAACCTGGCTTTCAATCGCTAGATCAAGACGCCTTTCCCGGACAGCTCCGAAGACGACTCAGACTCTTGCTCTAACAGAGATCGGCTCATGACTAGAAGACTGCCGCCAAATATAGGAGGGGGGAAAGCAGAAGAGTGATTCATAAGTGTAGCCGCTCCCTCAATAAGACTCCCTTCCGGGACGTACTTCCCGATCAAGAGGTGATAGACTCTATGATGTATTTATGACTCTGAATGACTACAAGCAGAAGGTTAACACTCCCAGCGTGCACCAAAGGAAGGAGGTATAGGATCAAGTAGTGTTCTAATCTTTATTGATTAATATTTCAGGGATCACTATAGCGCGAACTTACGAGACCACAAGAATTCGAGTATGTTCATCCCCGCCGTCCACTGATAGACAATGGACTGCTGAACGTCAGAAAGGAGCAAGTGAGCTGGAGTCACAAGTACCAATGATGTCACATATAGAGAACATAAGAGGAAATAGGTACTGTTGTTAGTGTCTTAGTTTACGTTTGAAAGGCTCATGATGGCCGAGCTAAGCCATGCTAGCAAGCTATATAACGCAAAGAGGGCTAGATAGAAGCAGTGAATTCTCAAGGACCATGGCAACCGCGGAGTAAAAGGTAGAGAGAGTGTCGGATGCAAGATAGCAAAACTGAAACAATCTTCGACTGTGTTTTTTTGATATATGCACGGTTGATCTCAATTTCACCTAGGATGAATAAGCAGGCCTAGTGGAAGAAGTGTACGTAGTCATTCGGTGATTTGCGAGCCTTCCCTACAACCGCTACATGCTTTCATATGGGACACGTGCTTGATTGAGAAACAGCTTACAATAACGGGTCAAAGTTTTATTATGTTGCTTTTTTTCTACGTTGTGCGAGAACATACGCAAACATGTGATTACGCTGAGATGCCGTGCACCTCGCAAGCCAGCTGTCGACTGATAAGAACGTAAATCCAACAGAGGTACAGTATCATAAGGTATTGAGATATCAGTCCTTTCTTGATGATCATTTAGAGTACAACGCTTAGATGATGTGGCGGAGATGCGTCCCAAAAGCAGTCATTTTGAATGCAGTATCCATGAGAAAACAATTTTACTGCAGCAACGGGCAGTTTCGCTAGCCAGGGCGAAGAATCATCGATTACGTACACTGTCATCGGCCGAACGTTACGCGGGACAGACGAATGACCCTATGGCAGTGTCCTCATGTAATGCATCCCTATATACAACTCTCTACTGCTTTTCGTACACTTCGATAGCCGCCCTTGCAGTGCTCTTTGCACTCTGTGGATTCATACCAGTGACGACCCTCCCGTCAACAACATGATAGTCATCCCATATACCGTCGGACCGAACGTCTGTATCACGCAATTCAGCTCATGTCATATACGAACAGATAGCGACCACAATAACCTACACTTCGCGCCAAGCGTCATTGCATGCTCATCAACCAGTGGCTCATTCCACGATCGAAGCCCTTTCGTGATTCCCATCTCCTCCTCGGCTTGAGTCGTGAAACCAGTGATCTCTCTATCTTGAACGATAGGCTTGCCTGTAGCGGGATCGAGAAGACCAGCAAATATGGCTGGGCCGTGACAGCTATGCATTGGTTAGATACTATCTCGAAAGCGATAAAAGCTTGAGAGGGATGCTCACACAGCCGAGACGACACCACCGTTCTCCCAAACTTTGGCAGCGATCTTCTTGAGATTTATGGCGTGGGGGTAGTCGATTAGAGCGGCATGTCCTGCAGATGCAAAAAAGATACCGTACTATAACACCTTAGTTAACGTCCGTCGCATGGAAAGTTCTTTAGTCATCAGCATACCTCTGTCTCCAGCAAGTCCTCTGCTTTTAAATTCCTGTCCATGTTGCGGCGGAAGTCACTGCTCTTGTCATCGTACTGCTGTCTCTCCTCTTCACTCAAGAAACCAGGCTGCAGACTAAGCCAGTCTTCCGTCCACGTCCCTTTCTCAGAGGCAATGTCCACTTCGAAGCCTGCAGCTTTGAGCACATTGTACGGGTGCAGGGCTTCGCTTATAAAAACGCCCGTCTGATGGCCACCATCTTCAAAAAGAGAGGCGTGAGCAGAGGTGATCGCGATGATTGCGCGTCGAGCTGAAGGCATACTGGGCGTAGGGTAGAATGTTGCTATGCTAGGTAGAGACGATGGGAGCTGGTTTCTTATGAGTGATGTGCTTCTGAGAGGGCGTTTCATCTCATTATATACTTTGTCAGGCGTCCATGTAGCATATCGAACATCGCAACTGGAAAGGTGCCGCCGTAGACCAGCAAAAGCTGCGGTAACTCATTGCACTGTTCTTGGCCGGTCTTTGCGTACCAATGTTAGCGTACGAACATTGCTTACAGATCTTCTTTCGCGTTTGTCTACGTTATCCGAGTTGAGCGGCCGTGAGTGGTTGGAATGTCAGCGTGCCACATCTTCATTCTCCATCGGTCTTGACGATAAGCGTAGCAGCACACACATTGAGTTTAAACATCCATGCAACATCTTTGTAAAGAAAACGTTCCGCCGCTCGTCTGGGAGCAAAGATCGGTTCTTTAAATGATTGGTTCACTCGCATTTGAGATTACGCTAGCTAGCATGTTACACCCCACGACACGGAACGGCAACACACGCTAGACCACGTTATCTTCGAAACGCACCTGGCCACATATTTTCGGTTGCTATTTACCCATGAAAACGGCTTGCCTTAGAGACCTCCTCGCGCATGCGCGTATTATGTGGACGTCTGCACGGGTATGGTAGATGTTGCAACCGAGTGTTCGCAACAGGCCGATGCCCTCAGTGATTCCGCTTTATCACTCGCGCTGCTCTTCTTTGGGGAACGCGCTGAAAGCCATGGAGGAACTTGTCTAACAGAGGGGTGCGATATATATGAGCCCCCTCATGTTGAATTAGCCCCCAGTTTTTGGACCCGCGCTTCTTGTCGGACTCTACTTACCTTATACCGACTCCGGCGAACTTTGCCCATTTTGTTGAATGCACCGATTTGTGGACAATTCCACGACACTCGACGCTGTAAACAGACTGGAATGCAATAACCTGGGTCAGATGACTTCAAATAATCCACATCGAGATAGGGTCCCTGCAGCATATTAGTGAGATATAGCCAGTGAAGAGTCACTGTACACAAAAAAGCGTCAAATAGTGAGTCCGCGCAATCGTTAGACGGTGAGTCAAGACACCTCAAATTTGAAGGCGGATCAATGGCGGTTTTTAGGTTCCCCCTACCCGTCGTTTGTGAAGCACACTCTACGCGACCCTGCTTGACATTTTCCTTCTCTCTTGTTGTGCTGCAACGCGAACGCCGCGCTATCGTTCTGCAGACTATGGTCTCCACGGAGTTTCGCATTGAAACCCCTCGTCTCATCGTCTCACATCTCGATTCGTTACAAGATTCTCATTGCGACTTTCTAGTAGATCTATACGGCAGCGAGCAAAATCGTTCTCGCAATCCTGTCGCTACACCGATGCCTGATCGAGAGGCTGCACGCAGGAAGATCGACTCAAATGACCTCATCTGGACTTCGGGCTATGGTCGCTACCTTGTCAGCCTGAAAACGTCCACTGGCTTTATGGCAGTAGGACCAGATTGTGTACCATTCTCCGAGATGCTTAAGACATACACCAAAATTGGCGTAGTCTCCATGAACCGCCGAAGGTTCGAGGGCGCACCAACCGCCCCAGACCTAGGCTTTGGTCTGCTACCTGCCTTTCAAGGTAAGGGGTTCGCGACTGAAGCAGCAGCAGCTTTGGTGTGTTGGCTCGAAGAGGAGAAAGGTCAGACCGAATTTCTTGCATTTTGCAACAAGGAAAACGAGGGTTCGAAAGCAGTGCTTCGGCACATTGGGTTCGAAGAGAGGGGAGTGTGGAACATCGGAGGCATGTCTGCAGACGGGCGAGTTATTGATGGCATGGTGTATAGCAAGGGACTCATGAAGAGTCGAGAGACTTATGGTTTAAGACAACACCGAGGGGTTGCATAGAGTTACCGTATGTCGTCATACATCAAGGCCAGCATATCGAGTGCTGCTTCTTCGCTTACCAAATCCATTTGCTTATAGCCGCTATCTGCGTGATATTGTAAACTCAACTGCGTCTAGTGTCTCTAGGGATCATGTGATGAAAGTTGTGCAACCTTGTTGATTCCTTTAACAGATATGAGAAGAAACCTCGTAAGGTTGTGGAGCTCCAATTCGTCTTGCTATACGCGCAAGAAGTAGACAAGGCTCGACACATGTGTAGCTCTTCCTTCAGCTGAGTTTTTGAGAACTTTCAACAGCGCCCGCATCCACGCACCTGTGACCCGTTTATTTTCTGGCCGTCGGTAGCCCGGCTGCATCTAGCAAGACCCCGTATATATTTGACCAATCAACGAGAACGCCGATGCGCGACAGGGCAAGTTGAATGTCAAATCAAAAACTAGACTGAGTTCGTAATTGTAAGTCAGATCTCTAGGCTTGCATCGAACGATCTTTAGAAGTGATTTCCGTTTCTACAAGCATCTATGTGCTGTAAGCCTAACACGCTCTAAGCACCGCTAGCGATATACAGCGAATGTACACTGACATTAACGAGCGCAAGGACTGATTAATTTGCTAATCAGCTTTCACAGGTGAGCCGTAGACAAAACAAAATTTGCTCACGCACTTACTGCTTAACGAGGTGTCGGGGGATTCGAGTGTAAAACGTTCTTGATTCGCAAGTTCAGCCAATCAGTAGTCAACTACTTGATATACATATGTAGATATTTGGAGAACACCACGTTTTACAAAATGGATGATCTTTTCGGAATGTTCAACTATAGTTGCTGAAGCATAGCCATACTAAGGGGTAATCCTGGCAGTCCTAGCAATCCTGCCTTTCACTTCCGTAAATACCAATATCTGCGAGTTTTTTTACACTTTAGATTTGCGAAAAAGAGCGGACCCCCCCCCCCCATGTCTTAAATAAAGCTGAACTACTCTAGGGGATTCCCTCTATATCTGAAGGTTGATGCATCCCTGTCGCTTGAGCGGCACCTTCGATCGGCACGGACCAGGCAACCCTCCTCTCAATGAATTGCTCCACCTGTGGCCGCAACTTAGTTTCCGCCAGGGAGAGATCATCAACAGTGCCAGTGCGCAAGATTGACATTCCAGGAAAGCGAGCGCCACGTCGATACATAAGGGTTCCACAGGTCTTGCAAAAGTAGTTGGTCATGCGCGCATTGGCACGTATCGTTTCAGTCTCGCCAAAGATAGTAAGGTTGTCCTCACCACGGACGTGCTTGAGATGCGAATCTGCTACTGTAATGTTGGATTGGTAGAAGGCGGATCCGATCTTTCGGCAGTCGACGCAATGACAGATATGGCGGTTTATGAGACCGGGCTTCTGGAGAGGCTACAAACGATATCAGCTTAACGTAAAGCCGCAGTGCAAAATAAGATAACGAGTAACAAGGGATGTTAGAGCTTTTGTAGCATTCAACACAAATAGACTTACCAGAACTAACTGCACAGATCCGCAGAAGCAGGTGGCAGTGGCTTCGTTCTCGGTAGACCAGCCATCATTGGATAGGTTGACTATAGGGAAGCCTTGGTCATTGAAAGAAGTCATGATTATATATCGATGGCGACAGTCTTATCCAAGTCGAGACTGCAGGACAACGGGGGGGTAACGAGGAGATTCGAGCAAAGAAAAGATGCGACCAATGCAGTTGAGAGTCAGTATCGAGATGGGGATTTGTTGTTCGTGAAAGACGAAACTTATATAGCGTTGATACACTAGACTGGTCCACACAGGAGCGATCTAAGACGACTACCAGCGTTTTCCATTCCATCGACTGCGAAAACCTAAATCCTCAATGTTACTTAGCGATGGCGTCGCTTACGTCGCTTAGCTCGCCTACGTCTCGCTTCAAGTAAGCTCGTGACTTGATTGGTTGCAGCAGTCCCGTCTGGCCTCTGTTCCCCTCTCGCATGACGACATCATAAGCACAAAATCGCGCGACCGTCGCATGGATGTAGGTCCGAAGATATGAGTGTCGCTTAGCAAGCATATACTTACATACATACCTAAAGCGATGGTTAATGGTCAGCAGTAAATCCGGGTAGCATGCAGGCTGGGCGCATCGGCTCATTCGGATCGTGCGTTGATGGGTTGTGATTAGGAAAGGAGAGAGCTACTCTCGCCCTGCTCCAATCAGCGGGCATTCGGTATCAAATCACCAACAGCAAAGTATTAATCTCCAGAGCAGACCCAAGGTAGCATGGTATGCTCAGTCCTCTTGTAACAACATCACCATCTAGTGTCGATTTTGGTAGAGCCACGCTTGAACGAAGTTCTAATCGGCTAAAACAGCTGACCTATGTAACTAAATTGCGTCCTGCTGTTGCCACATGCTCCTTTGTTGACAGATTTGTAGAACTCTTAGGGCTGTGCCCAAGGGTAGCTTAATTGTTATGCCAGGGTCGCATAGACCAGCTCCCGGATTCTGACATGAGCACTGATAGGTGCATTTCGCAACAACTGTTACTAGTGAGTCGAGTAGGTCTTTAATGAAGCCTTACCAGCCAACTGATATCGCCGAGAAAGGCATAAAACAAAATGAGGGTAATAGCTGGTAGGTATAGTGTTGAGTTTACCGAAATTGAACGATGATGGTGCTCATGTGCGCTCTCTGATGAACTGTTCAAGCATTGTTTAATGCACCCAAGTGGCTTGACATGTAGCCTCCATTGGGCCATGTCTTTCTCTTGTGGATAATTAAATCCAAACTGTTCGTCCCTAAGCAAAGGTCGAGGTTCGCCTAGATGGTTGTGTACAAGCACCAGGAATGTCCAGGGCTAAGTAACCAGTTGCTGCCTAGATTGTGATAGATAGTTTGATTGGAATCGGTTGAAGCGGAATCACTGCAGCATACGTGCATATTCGGAGGCCTGGCATCTTAAGGCCTACGTTAAGCTGCAAACCCACAAGTAACGCAATATGAATGGACAGTGCCAAATCATCGTTGCAAGCTCAAGTCCCCCTTCCACGTTCCTTTGTTTGGGTGAATGATGCCCACTTGGGTGCAGTAGTCAGAAGGCCGTTAGGTCTTCCGCCGGTCAAGGTATAAGTAACATGATTTCAAAAGCCGAACCATAGGGCCAGATGTGCCTCGCAACCCCTGCGCACCATTGTACTCAAACTGAAGGATGCCTTGAGTCACAGAACTTGCTCAGATAAGCAGCTAATCGGGGGCGCCGAGTAAGGCATACTCGACCGTTGCATTGCGTCTCGAGTGCTCGGGGGAAGGGACCAAACGTGGTCATGCACGCTACTAAGCGGACCCGGACTTACAAGGTCCGGCACTAAGTTGTCCACACTGTGCTCGCAATATCCGAGAGCTTATGCTTATAGCAGCTTGCTTACGAATGCATACTAGTCAAAGCTCTTGCAAGGAGCCTGAGCTAGGCTCAAAAGGGCCTCAACATATTTCTTCATCAGATCTAGCGTGAACAGCAAGGCTAAGGGGCGTGAGCCCTGCCAACAGCTGCATCGTGAGGACACTGCGGCAGCGTTTCCTAATCTGTGCGTTGGACTAGCGTCGATGCTATTGGTAAGATACAGATGGACGACATGGTCACGGCTTGCTCTTCTCGCCAATCCGTCTAAACCACCATCTGATCATTGCCGTGATCACTTATGCTGATCAACAGCATGGCCTGGGAGAAGAGTCCTTGCCTGTTCTAGCCAAGCCTCAAAATAGTTGTCTGAGACTTGCCCAAATACTTGACCTGTGGCTTGGGTCGGGAAATGTGTTGCGCCACGTTCCAGCCCAGCCCTGTGGAGACGGTCTAAGGGCCAAATTGGAAGCTGCACAGAATTGTAACTCGACTTCTACCATGAGACAGGTGCAAGGTTTTGCAGCAATTTGAGTCAAACTTCCTCATCTGGAGTTTCACTCTGCTGCGTTCCGGAGATTTATCGTGGCTTTACAATCCATCACGCGTCCCGTTCAGGCATACTTCAGCCTTGTAGATGCCCCGAGTTGACCAAGCGAGAGACTCACACTCTTCGATTAACCACACTTTTATCTAATCTCTCGCCCTACCTCTAGTCCTGATTTCACTTGACGGCCTCTTACGGCATCAAAAAATCTGTAAGTCTAACCATCTCGCAAAATCTGCACAAAAGTGCATCATTCTATGCCCTTGCCGTTCAACACTTCATCTGCTGTGAAGAGACCCCCTAACCTTTTTTGCAGAACGTTTACAGTCCGCACAAGTATCCGATATGAAACAAAACGATTTGAACGCAAGACTAAAGGTTCGAACAGGATGTTCGGTTTGCAAGTCAGCTCCCCCCCCCCCCCTTCTGCGTTTATTGCCTATTCTTACGTGAACACCAGGATTCGGCACGTCAAATGTGACGAGAAGAGACCGTTTTGTACCAAGTGCACCTCGACTGGTCGCACGTGTAGTGGTTACGTGTCGCCACCACCGAGAAAGATAGGGAAACGCCGCTCCAAGTATGACACGCCGAACATGCCACTAGGTCAGCGTGTCGCTGTTTACCCTGCCTCGCACAACTCTGCCACAGCCTCGGTGGCTGCGTATGCAACTCATGCATGGCAATTTCCCCGATACATACATTGTTGTGCCTTCAGCAAAGCCGAGTGGGACGAAACGCGAAGCCTCCACTACTACCGTGTACGCGTCTCGAAGAGGATCTCTAGCTGCTTCGATGTAAACTTTTGGGAGAACACCGTTCCGCAGATGACTGAGGAGGAGCCTGCTATAAGGCATGCTATTGTTGCGCTAAGCTCATACTATGAGGCTGGCGAGTTGTCACGGCTGTCTGAGTCTCGTTCTGCAGTAGGTCGACACTCTTATCTAGTGCGGCTCGCAATCTATGAACACAACAACGCCATCAGCACGCTACTCAACCAAATCCATACGAAAGGGCAACTTACCGAGGTAGTCGTGATGTCCTGTCTAATCTTTGCCTGGTTAGAGTTCCTGCAAAACAATGTTGACGACGCCTTGAAACATCTGCGAAGCGGTCTCCGCATCCTGGCGGAGCAGCAGCAGACGCCGTGTCTTCAACAAGTAGCCATGCAAGTGGCTCACATCTCCGGTCGTTTGATTACCCAAGCTATGCTGCACGGGTACTCTACAGTAGAGTTCGACTACTCCGCTATCATGCATAGCATGGGTTCTCGCTCCTCCAGTTTTGCTACCTTGAGAGATGCTCGACGTGATTTGGATGGGATGATAAATGACGCATTTTGCTTCCTTGGCCAGCTTGAGAATCTAGGCTACACCGAGTCACACCATGGGCGTAGCACGCTTCCAGACTTTGGGTCTCTTAGAGACGAATATCAAGACCACGTCCGCAATTTTGACCAGTGGAGAAAGGCCTTTGGCGGATTGAGGGATCGGATTGCAGCCGGCGTAATGAAGGTCAATGTGGTTCAAGCCATGCATCAGCTTGAGCTCTGTTACTTGCTAATCTCGAATACTTTCGAGACCCTATTTGCCACGACACCTATGGTCTACGATGAGCACAATCACACCTTTGCTCGCATACTGTACCTCAGCAAACAGCTTCGTCAGTATCAAATACTTCACGAATCTAATTCTCTGTTTACGATTCCATTCGACTACAGCATCCAGGGTGCACTATTTTACATCATTCTTCGATGCCGCCATCTACCCATTCGGAAGGAGGCGATGCAGCTTCTTCAGCTCTGCCCGGATCACGAGGGTCTCTGGCCGCACGCATGCTTAGTTGCGTTCTGCAAGTGGAAGATTGACTTTGAGGAGAAGGGGAGACCACAGGGGGCGCTTGAAACCGACCCGCTACCGGTGAACGCTCGAGTGCATGGTGAGGAGGCACGATGCCTAGTCAAGGACATTCAAACCCTGGTAGTTGTGAGTTACAAGCGAGGAGTCTTAAATGGTCCTGTTGGTGTCACATCAGACGTAGAAGAGGTCACAAACATGAGCACGAGATTAGTCGGGTTACTAAGGTTGTGGAGAGCTTGGCCACTGTACCCTACTATCAAGCTAAAGGACACATTGCATCTTTCTCGAGATTTCTAGCAATAACATTGTCTGCCAAGATTGGAAGCAGGAACAATAAACTTGACATTCTTGACTTGGCATTCTTGGAAACCTAATCAGCTGCCCGGTAGCATGTCTGGGTTTGTCATACAGGAGATCCAAAGAGGCGGAAAAGCTTCCCAATGCACAGATATATGTATGCATTGCACAGTGATGAAAGAAGCGTCCTGCGCTCAATGTAGTCAATTCTATACATTGGTAGCTGCAAACTCGGTTGTACTCGTCTTGCCCAAAACAAGCGCGCCGCTCTTACAGCGTAACAAGATTGATTCAGCGTGAGCCCACGGTGCATAGTAATTATACACTAACGAGTTTGGGGCTGTATCGACATAGCTGTATGTTGGGTTAGTAAGCATTCGAACTAGTAACTATTGAGAGACAACAACATTGGCCTCCTTGTGATTGACTTGTTGAAGTTATCCCGGCGAACAGACAGTTCCGCTTATCGCCCGGACGTCCACCATCATCGCACAAGTCGTCCTCCTTGTCTCTCCACCCCTCCTGCCTGACCTTCTCCTTGCCCTCACTCTTCCTCGTCATGTCCCACCATTCTCCCTCCAACATGCCCATATCAACCCCATCCCACCACCTCCCCTCATGCCAGAACGCCTCCCTCTCCCTCCCCTCGGCCTTGAACCCGATCTTCTCATATAACCTCAACGCACCCACGTTCCACTCGAACGCTTGGATGTGTACCCTGTGCAGGCCAGCGCGGCGGAAGGCGTAGTCGAGCGCCTACTCTATGACTTCACGGCCGTAGCCGCGCCCTTGGTAGGCGGGCAGGATGGTGATGCCGATGTCGGTGCGGCGGTGGTGCGTGGTGCTAAGGGTGAGGCGCGAGAGGTGAAGTACCCCTATTGCGGTGCCCCAGTCAGACGGCAGAGGCTGGCTGGTAGTGAAGGTGGATGGGGAGTTGATGGCGTCGTTGTTGGATCTCCTTTCTACATTACTCGGTGCCCACGTTGGCGCCGACATTCGTGTCCCGCCCGTTGCATCGTCTCTTAGCCAAATCACAGCGCCCACCAGCGCCTCATTGGCCACGTAATCCATGTAGGATTTGGCGTGCGAGGCACCCGGTAGACTAATATTGGGTGCGCTGCTGTTGATGAAGCCTTGGTGATCGTTGCCTAGAGCGACGAATAGTGTATTGTCTTGCTCTGGGCGCACAGCGCGGAGTGCAAGGCGTGCCGGGTCGAATGGGCGGGTGGGGTTAGGGATCAATGATGGATCTAGGGGCGTGGCCATTTTGATAGGTGCGATGTGTATATGGTAAGTTATGGCGAGTAAGGCTCTTTTGATCTTATGCAGGCATCTTGCAGCGGTCTACTCTAGTGTCTTTGACAAATCTTAACATGCCGTATCCATCTATTGAGTCGCGTGTAGATACGTGGAATTTGATGCAGGATCTTGATGTGGTTCTTGTAGCTCGAGGGCTCGAGTGCGCCCGAAATGCATGGCCTTGTACTCTACACTGAGCATGACGTCATTACAAGTCCGAGGCGACCAATTAGCGGCATGATGAGTAGTAATAGGTGTACTGTGACTCTAGCAAATAGTAATAATGTCTTTTTGTTTCCACCTTTTCTCAATACGTGCTACAAGCCGAGAAGACAGCTCATGTAGTGTAAGTCTGGCAAAGTCTTGCATTGGGCTGAGTCCAGTCCTACGCTCCACTCCAACACCAAGGCAAAGCTGAGACGGGTCTTTGTGATGGATCTACCTGGTACACAGTCATACACATACACACACACACACACACACAGTAGGTGTAGTCGCACCTCGCCAATCGCGAAGCTCGGTTCGCTCGCTTCTCTCGCTTGCACAAGACCAGTACCGAGATCCGTTACGATCCGCCGCTTCTCCCGACTAGTGCCCTTTTTAGACTAGTGCGCTTACAGCCCCACCACCACCAATGCTTCTGCCAAACGCAGCACTGCACCTGGGACGCTCAGCCTACCTCGCATTGATTGCCAGCCTCCGCAAACCCAACAGCACATCTGTCCTATCACCGACGACTGATCCAAGGCTTCCGTCACCTACGTCCAATGAACAGGCCCATCGTTGCCACCACAACCCCTTTTGGAGCTTCATCTGGCGGCTGCAACTCCTCAAGTGGCAGTGGGTACAGTGTAATCGCCTCCCACTGACCATGCACAACAAAAAACGTAGGGCTCGCACGGGATGCCTGACGTGCAGGGCCCGCCGTGTCAAATGTGACGAGCAAGTGCCAGAGTGTGTGCGATGTGCTGTCGCCAACGTCGCTTGCGCGGGATATGAGCCACAGCGCGTCGTTGTGTCCATCAAGCCCAGGCATCAGAGCCAACAAGAGCGACAAATCGCACCTTCACCAACCTTGTCGCCCGACCAAAATTCGCAGCGCCAAGATGCTGCACGTCCTCCATTTCCAAACTTGCCTTCCAAACTGCAAAGTGTGACACAGGGGCCCGTCGTTGCCGTGCCTAGTAATCATTCGCCATTAGTTGCATTTCCCTCTGGCCCTCATCCAGACCAGTCTCCCAGTCCCGGCGCGCGACATGTGCTCGGATATCATCAAGTCCTTATCCGAACCATTCCCATGCTGTTTCCATCGCAGCACCTGCACTTCTGGCACGACAAGCTTTTCCAGAAAGCGTGGGGTTGCAACTACCTGTATCTGACTCTCGTGTCTTTAGGCATCAGTCATCGTGCAGCGTTGATGACTGCTGCAACTAGTGACTGTGACAAAGCTAACGGTCTTGATATGAAAATCACTGCTGTGCAACTTTACACCCAGGCGCTCGAAGAGCTAGCAAAGCATTTGGAAGAAGCGAAGCAAAAACCGTCACTGCTTGTGGCTACTCTTTGTTTGATGGCCTATTTCGAGGTAAGTCGCCTTGGAGCCACCGCATCTTGTTCAAGGTGACTAGCTGACAGTGGGGCAAGTCTTTCAGTGGTAACATTCCCGCCTTTACGGGTCGCGTTCAAGCAGCCAACTACTATTTTACGACGCTACTGCCTGTTCGCGAGGCTCCAGGCTGTGATGAAACATCACAAGATAACGACTTGCCACCTTTGCGAGACTGCCTTCGATCATTGGGCCAAACTTGTTACGTTACTCTGCCGCTCAATATGATTGACGTAACCACTGGACTACATCTCAACAACTATCGGTCTCGGGGAACGGGTCCAGAACACACCTCACCGACCTCGCTTGTAGCGCTCGAAAGCCTTGTCGACATGGTCTCCGAGAGCTGCGAGATCAAGGAGATTGTGTGGAGCCCTTTAGCTGCTTACGCACGATCTGTATCCGCCCGAACCTTGAACGACTTCGAGCAAAACCTGATTTGTTGGAGGAACAATCATCTAGAGCTTATTCCCGAACTAGACACAGATTCTGCTCTACGTGCACTACTCATCTACGGGTGGTCACAATTTGCTATGCCGCCCGTACCCTATACAGCCATCACACGCAACAAATCGCTCGCAGCTGCACACTACAACTTCTATAGAGCCCGCATCAAATGGGCACTAGTGCTCCTGGGAGATGACGTGCTGCGGAACAAGCCGATAGCCGAGTTCTACTTCTACGAGGCTCTCCGCCATGCAGCATCTCACGCAGCTTTTCTTGTTGCTGCAGAAAATGACCAAAATATCTATATCCCGTGCGAGGCACTTAAAGTGGGACTGCTGCCTGTACTGCACATCATCGGTCTCTGTAGCCCCGAGCCGCTCTGGCTGAGATGGATTAAGGATTTAAGCGATCAGATCGTGCAGGAAGGTGTTCTCAAGGGCCATACTTTTGCCACCAGTTTAGATTGCCTGCACAGATTTGAGATGTACCGATTCGGTCATGACTACTCAACGACGGTAGATCAGTATCCAGAACCTGCGGAGCGGATCATCTGCCAGCTCATTCCGGAGACGGACGGCCGCCACTTTACGTCTTTCTTTGCTGTACCTTCGGCAGCAAATAGCCCGCGTCGCGCTGGACTAGGCGCCTACCGCGTCATAGGCAATGCGCGGTGGAGATGCGGATATGGGGAAGGGCCGTGCACCCCAGTCATCACCATGTATGGCAGCGACCACATGAAGCTGGAACCGCTCTCGACAGAATGGCTGTACAGTATGCAACCTGTTTTTGAATGGCTTTCGTGGTCTCGGGAGAAGGAATTCCGCATGGAACGCGCTCTTCAAGACCACATTAGCGGGACCAGACTGCTGCTTGCCGCTGACGGCGCCATCACTAACGGACAGGATGACACATAACCTCCAAATAAATATAGGCCGTTGTTCTCGTCACATTTCATAACGCTCTATGGAAATAACCGTTCAATGCATCTAGAAATTGATGACCAAATTAACACAACCCAGATTGGAGCGCATCTACAAGCAGCGCGTTTAAGGAGCCGCCACCTATAAGTCCTTGAAAGTCTCTCAAACCCTTGAAAAGACTCCTCACTATCAGCTCAGATCACGAATCTGGGCTTGGTGTATGGCTTGCAGGCTAGTATAGAATCATTATCGTAGTCTCTTTGTGAGTTTCTGCGTAGCATGGCCGATGTGTACATGTCTTAAAGAACTATATGTTTTCCGTCTGGGTTGGGCCCGGATAATGGCGTCGTCTCACCTCGATTGGCTCAGCTGGCTGCGAAATTCAAGCCTTGCAGAACATGTAGTGCACAAGCTGGATGGAGGCATCCCAGGTCTATAATAGAGACAGCTATAAATCAAGTAACATCGGGGCTCGAATTCAAGCGCTTGTGCAGCACGCCATACTTGAACTAGCAAGCACTCTGACTCCCAGTCACCAGCTTCGTTTGTCCGTCCTCGACGTGCGATTGGCACTAGAAAAACCTCATCTTGTGACTAATGGCCTGCTCTGAGGCCTTGAAACTTGTTCTATAACGCCCCGAATTTCACTGTGAATTGCTCGGAGGTCAATGCCTACATCAAAATCCGAACCATAGACAGGACGCGGATTTTTAAATACGACAGCGCAACGACGAAGTCACAAAAGGCTAATGCTCGGTTACAAAGGGCAAGTCTTGGCAAACGACGATTTTATCACAATAGCGCATGTCTTCAACGCGGGTGACCTTTTAGAAAGCCCTGGGAAATACAAGTTTCCGATGTAATTCTGCCGGTTCCCTCTTCCACTGATCCCCCTACAGCTTTTCCATGTAGTTCGCCCCAGAAACGAGCGAGTTTTGACTCCATAGCGTATGTGGACCAAATGTATCTCTTTAGTATCTTCTTCGATGCTTGCCAGTCTCGCATGAAGCCGCCAAAGCAGCTATGTAGCCCGTTATACATGAGCCCTTTGATCTGTGCCCTAACACAGCTACGTTCTGACAGTCCACCACAAACAATCATCAACCAAAAGATTAGCTCAGACGTGGCGGCTGAGTGGACACTGTGCGCGGCTTCCCCTATGCATCGAAGGATCTGATCGACGCATCTTTCTGGGATATAACAGCTTCCCCAGATACTCGTCGACAACTTGTAGGTGCATAGGTAGACAGCGAAGATACATGCTTCGTAGACAGGATCGTAATCAGATAAGCCCCTCCTCAGATCACTCAGTAAGTCCACTATGCGAGACTCCAGATTCGCCTGGTCGTCATTTATTGGAAAAATCCCGAGCGACTCACGTTCATCATCGCAGTCAATATCGACGAGCTCACACAGTGTGTTGAGATCTTGAACAACAGTACTGAATCCTTCCGGCCAAGGCGCAATGTGTGGCAGAAAGCCAGGAGGAATATTAGGCTCTCTCTGAAAACGAATGTGTCTCGCAACGCGGTAATTCTCAAAGTCGGTGTGTGAAAGAAATCGAGGGGATCCGGCAAGCAGGCAACTTATGACATCCTGCCAGAATAGCGCACGCTGAATCTCTTTGTTCAGCACGATCCCGTGCTCGATGCACAATTTCATCACTCTCTGCACGCCATCCATGTGCGTCATGATGACACTGCTATGCGCGTTGTCGTCGTCGTCATCGATGCGGCATTCATACCCTACCAAGAGCAACATTGCCGTAAGGGTAGAGACCTTGGGCGTCCAACCAGAGTCTTGTGTATCTAAGCGTAGTATGCTCAAGAGGTCGCAGAGATGTGATAGTACTTCTACATTGCGTACGTGGTTGCTCTCAGCAAATGATAAAACAAGTGACAGCGCATGGAATAGGGCGGGCTCGATCAAAGCCTCTCTAAAAATAGACTCGACTCCCTGGAAGAAGCCTTTTCCAGAATTTTCGAGGCAAAAGATAGGTTCGCCCGCTTGCCTTGCTGATGCTTTTTTCAGGTTTCAATATACATCGAATCACAAAGGGGGGGGGGGACCCTTCAAACCACTTACGATGACGCATTAGCTGCCGAAGTCGCTCAGGACAGCTGCAGAGAGTATTAAACGGATCTAGGAGTCCAACAGATGGCGACTTGGCCAAGACATTTACTAATTCGTGCGGCCTTGTTGTGGGCTCACAAGTCTTGCTGTCGAAATCAACGGTTATGAAGCCGCCTTGTCTCTCCACTCGCGCCGCTTTGCTCCGCTCTAAACCTTTCCGAATGGCATGTTGTCGGAGCGTTGCTTGTCTCTTCCTCTCCCGGAAGTCGTTGGGATGTAAAACTGTTACGAACTCGAACATGCTACCGTTTGATTTGCTACAGCGTTGCTCGTGACGGTGGAAAAAGTCTTTGGTCACCCACTGCTCTACTTACCGGTAAGTACTTAGTACTGTGTGTCCGTGCGCGTGACGCCCGGAACTGCGGAACATCCGATCGCGATATGTACTAGCGTTGCACGGCCTGTATACCAGTGTATACCGGTGAGAGGATCTATTTATAGGCAATTTCGAGTGGACAATGCCACGCTATGGCATATGACATTAATAGTTTATAGGAGAGACGCTACCTCTCCGTAGGTACTTTGTCGATACACTGCAGATGTTGTAATAAAACATGAGGAATTATAGTTGTCCACAGGCGACATCGACACATATACCACAATGCACTTGACAGGATAAGCAAACATAACTCGTAGTAACAGTTGGTTTTTGTTGATTTTGGACTCGCCGTGACGATAGGGAAAGTCTCTATAGACCTATATCCAGGCTCACAGGCTTGTTGCAATTGTAGATGCGCTGAATCTCCTGGCTTCATCGTAAGAGCTCAATTCAATACCGAGCCTCTCTGCCACCGTAACGAAACTCCCCTGGCTCTCATTGGAGCCTATCCAAAGATCCACCCATCCCTCAAGAAGCGCCTTCTCTATCTGCTCACTATCCCACTCCTCTTCACCAGGACGTTCAACGTAGATGGTCTGCATACCATTGTTTTTTGCACCCCGCAAATCATTGAGATGAGCGGCTACCATGGCACACTGAGTAGGTGGAAGCTGTAGCTTATCCGCAGCCCCTAGATATACGCGCGGTGAGGGTTTGTAGGTACCAAAGAGCTCGGCAGAAAATAAATGAGTAAAAGGTATAGCAGTATGGGTGCGCAAGTCTTCAAGTAGACTGAGGTTACCATTAGAGAGAGTGCACGTGTCTACGATATTAGAGAGCGAAATTCACAACGGGGAGTGACATACAGAAGAGTTTGTTCAGCATAGAAACACCTATAGCAGAGTCTGTCCAGGGATCTAGCCTGTGCCAGATCAGACTAATGGCACACAGCTGCTCATCATTCCATAGCCCCTCAATGTGCCACTGGACAACGAGTTCCCTCAAAGTCTCAAGGTAATGCTCGTCGACCGTCTTCCAAGGGATAGAAGAATCGCTGGCAAGTTTCCGAGTGAATGCCTTGTACCCATCGCGCCACTGTTGAGCAAACTTGTTCCAATCTTGGGTGGTCATATCAGAAGCGGTGAACCTGACTTGGGAAGATACTGTAGCTAAATTGAGCGCAAAATGAGCCTGGGCTTCAAGCTCGCCTACGACGGTACTTCGCCAGTCAACGCAGGTGCCGAAAACATCGAAGAAAAGAGCACGGGTGGTAGGAGATATAACCATTGCGATACCAGTGTTCAATATTGGAGATACTTTGGTGTAGGAGAGGTGACGATAGATTGCTTTGCACTAGACAATGTAACACCCTTTTTATATAGGCGCGTCACGGATATACTAGCGTTAGTGTGGCGAGGATGTTCGGATATAGAGTGGGTAATCGGAAAAGCGTTGAGAATAGTAAAAGAATTCACTAAAGAAAAGTTTTTACGCTATAGATAGTAACCCTAGCATATGATGCTACGCGGATCAGACCCTTAATTCATCTTGATTAGATAATTACGCACTCTATATTGAAAACATGCGTGTATCACGCGAATAAAACCCCAAATTTCTACCTACTATAGATCCCCATCCCATTTCTGGCATTCACAAAGCTTATAAGTTTCATATCGCGCGATTTACAGACCATGTGGAGTGCCATGTTTGCAGCGTTGTCGAGGGCTTCGAGCGAGGCGCCTCGGAAGAGGAGAAGTCGACACAGCTCAACATTTGCATCGGCATCGTCGGATAGTCTGCCCGCTCGACGTTCGAGTAAGGTATGCAGAGGTGTCCTGCCCTTTTTATCTACCGCATTGACATGAACCCCTTTACAATCCAGTAGGTGCTCAATCGTCCTTCTGTCGTTTCCCATGCACGCTATGTGCAGAAGCGTCATATTTCCCCGCCTATCCACAGCATTGATATCCGCACCCGCCACCACCATTGCATCGAATATTCGACCTTATTCATGACAAAGGGCGAACTGCAGATGTGTAAGACCCCCGTAGGTAACGTTGTCTCGACTCAGCTCCAGCCCCAGACATCTGCACTGGTGAGTTTCGCTGCTGCTTCTTTCTTCTGCTTTTGCGGAGTGACTGAAGAGGCCTGTTACTTCATTGAGGGAGGCCATAATCGATTTCGCTTGGGGAGCAGTGAGAGCTTTGAGGAAGATTTTCTCGTTACTGCTCATTGAAGACGGATGTTGAGGCTGGGGTTTCTGATTTATGTGGTGAAATAAGAGGTCAATGCATTTTCGTGATGGGCCGAAATGGCCCAATGTAAAGTCGTCTAGCCGTTGCGGTCCGCTCGATAGCAGTCTGCACCATAATCTAGTAGTGTGGATATGGCTTGTTTGTGGCCTTTGAATGCTGCCCAGAAGAGGGGAGTCCAATGTGCGGCATCGGGAGCGTTCATTAATGCGCTGCGTTGGAGTAAGGCGTGCACAATCACGTGGTGGCCCATGGACGCTGTCCAGTGCAATGGTGTCTAGCTGTGGAAGTCAGGAGCATTAATCTCAGAAAATGCTTGGGGATTGGCTTCCATCAGGTCACGAATCAGCTCTGAGAAGCCCGGGCAAGAAGCCACATGCAATGGCCACTCGGAACGGGGTATGTCGCGGAAGATGCAGGACCTGCCATAAAGCTTCTCGCAGAGCATTTTCGCCAGGTAAGTTCCCAAGTCTCTCAAGACACTGCTTCTATACCGCCCTGGCATGGTAACCGAAGAAGTTAGCAGCGTAATCGGGAAATGGGAGGTGTTGCGGCCTGGACTGCAGGCCCTCGATCTTTTCGCAGGGATCCTCGCGCATTGCCTTGACCGACAAATAGGGCAAACGAGTCTGCGATATCACCAGATTGGACGATATCTGTTGCCAGTACGAAATTCCTGGCAGTTTTATGCACCATGCCCAGAGTCCGATCGGCCTTGGACAGCACGACCAAACCAAGGCAACAAGATATGAGCAACCTCGCAATCTCCACGTTCTCGGGATCAATCCCCTTCTATCCATCTTCCGTGGCCAGTGCTTGTTATAATTCCCTGAACTTCGGGGGACGTTTGGCGTGGCATATCCACACCATTACCTTGACCGGTAACGTTTTGCGGCCAGCGTTCTGTTTAGCGATGCGCTCCGTTGTCCTACCGTATGCCTTTTTGTAATCAACCGGCGGCGACTCGAGAGCTTGACGCATCTTTTTGATGGTTTTAAGAATAGTCATGTGGTCCATGATCAGCCATGCTACCAGGAAACAGCCATCGACGTGGTTTACTGCTGCAAAGATCAGGTTGGATTTGAGGGACTGCGGTATAAGATCGTAATCGACTTTGCTCTTTTCCTGTAACCTACAGTCAATATAATGTACGAGGGTGTCTTTTGTAGTCAAGATCTCAACATACAATGACTTGTCAATATGCCTGCGGATGCCGGACGGGTCGCGTGAGGTAGCAAAGATTTTTGATCTGGTCTTCGATAGGTTGGGCAACTGCTTTGCCAGTTTCACAAGGAAAGGACCTTCTTCGAGGCTATCTAGAACTACATATGCTATTGGCGTGTTTTTGATAGTGTTTGATATGATACTGACAATCTTGTCAGGGAGGAGGGAGGAGTTGGTTGACTTCTTCTTCCACAGATTAATAACATCTTCGGGTACAGTATCATCCTGGTCCAAGAGCTACACGGCAAGATGCTGCAAAAAACCATCCAACGTCTCATTGCATCGTTTCACGCTGAAGAAGTAGTATGCCACCACGAGTTGGCTTGATGATGATGCCGTATCCAGATCTCAAGCGATAGCAGCGGAGAGCACGTTCTTCACGGTGCCGGGCCGCCCATATGCCCATACCAGTCCTTCTGCGCCATCTCTCCACGCCAAACACTCTTTTCAGTTGATGGAGTGCGATCCGATTCCCTTGCATAGCTTTTCTACGAAAGTGTTGAGAGGATCAGGTGTGGAGGAGGGGCTAAGCCAGTTCTTCAGTTCATTTCTCTTTTTCGCGGAGGTCATGGTTCGGAGCTCCCTCAAGCCGGCAACAGAAACGATGACATACCATTCATTGGTTCCGGTATCTGTCTTTCAGACCGTAGTCCTCAGTACAAGGTACTCATAAATGGTCTGTTGTCGTCGCAGACGCAAATACAGCGTGGAACCGATGTAGCATCTTCATTCTCCTTTATTACCTTCTCTTGAAACGGCCACAAGAGCGTGCCTAGTTTTCTCCGGACACTTTGCTCCGAGGCTTTCCTCTTCAACACGACCTTCACCTTTTCCAACCGCTTCTTGCAGTCTTCTATCGCCATCTTTGATATCACGGGTTGGTGAGGGTCAATAATATCGCCGAGCCCATCGATCTGAGTAGCCCGTCGCAGCCGCAGAAACACCGACGTTAAGATCGAGATCTCCTGGATGGATAAGGCTTGGGTGTCCGATGCGCTTTTCAGGGCGAAAAAGTAGTGGAAGCTGAGTTGTGCAATCTGGATGGCAAGACCGTATAAGCCGGCAATGCTGGCTGCTATGCTGAGAGGATCGGCCATCGCGGGCAGGTCTGAAAAACTGTCTAAGCTCTGGGGCCGCTTTTGCTATTATAATCATCCGGAAAGGAAGGGGTTGGAAAGAGTGTATCATTAGGTTGGACCTCCCCGCCCTTGCACGCGACTGCAGGTCTTCAGCCTCTCACTAATGGAGCTGTGTGCATACTAGGCGCCTTCTAGTAGGTGGCTGTTCGCAGGGAATATCTGCAGGGACGGGGTAGAATCTCGCTACTTAGAGGTTAGCTCGTGATCTTGTTACGAAGTAGTAATACGAGCTTGTGAAGCCTATAGCCTAAGCAGAATACCACTCTATTTCTAAGGTGGAATTATAAAAAATTTATAGAGAGAAAGAATTGTGGTCTTACTAATGGAATATACATCTCCATACATTTGCGTATGTCCGCGTACATCCGCATCCATTCTCTCGCCCGCACTAGCCGAGCCTACTAATGCCGACCCCTGCTTACTACGTGGTCTTTCTAAACCGCTCGTTCAACCTTCGCCCCTCTCTGTCGCCTTCCTACGCGACAGCTCAGGCAATCCATCACTATTTAACTCTACTTTATTAAACAGTTATTGCATCTAACAACATGTATAGTTCGGTTCTGGTGCATCAGCTGGTAGGGCTGCATATTAAACTGCAGCTCGGCTAGCCAGCTTTCCAGTCGTTTATCTATCGAGCGTGTTTTTAGTTTACCGATTTTGAGCCTTTATGCACGAACCATGATTTAGCTATGCAGAATCACAAAAGATGCGTTGGCGAGAAGCCTAGACCGCTTTGCTCCATGTGCTAGTGGTTTAGCTTCAGCTCTACCCTTGCTTAGCCTGCAGCATATTATGCAGTGCTAATGCTTCCCCTTTCTGCACTAATTGAGCTCGGGTGAGAAATTGACTTTTTTATCAATTTTCAATCACTCAGGCGAAAGGTGTCAGTTTCGTTGCTCATCTTTCATTCTCAGTTCTCCTTGCACCCGTCTTCAAATTCGACAAAATGGGGCTCGAGGCACTTGAAGTGTCTCCCCCAACTTCAGACAACGCCGATACACCCGCGAAACATTGGAAGACCCAAGACCCGTACATCTTCAAGCCAGCAGAGTGGTTCTTTAAAGAAATTGCTGGTGGAAAGACGAAGCGGCCTCATACGATTTCATGCGAAGAAGTAGACCAGCAAGCCAACGGCACGCCGCTCCCAGTTTCTAGCCATGGAAGAATCTTCCGTTTCAATGACGAATTGGGTTTCCTGTTGATCCAATTCATGCGTCCACAGGTCTGGCGTATTAGGTTCCATAGCACAAATACAACGCCTTCAGACTTTTCTGACTATAACACAAGAACCATCGTCCAGGACACACTTACAAAGACTATCGAGATTCTGGACCTTGCTGAGGGCTTATCCTGGCATGTCGAACTCGTGCAGCCGAATAATGAATACTACGTTTTGCAATCAGTCCTCGGCTCCGAATCAGTAGAGGATCCGTCCCGCAAGGTGATTGTCCAGCTGTGGATTGAACGGAATCCTATCAACATCACCGCAGTCAGAGCAATCAGAACTACGAGTGTTGTGACGCAGCTACCAACGTTGTCATCAATCTCAAATGTCAACCCTGAGCAGGTGGAAAGATTGAAAATTAAGACACCTCCAGACTCACAAGTTGCTGTCATCTGGCGAACCAAAAATAATCCACTACAATGGCTAGATAATGCAACCGTTCTAGCAATTGAAAAGCCGCTAAGCGCAAGATATGCGGGATTTGGGGAGCAAGGCGGGCGCAGGTTGTTCAAAGACAACGTCTGCATGAACTATTTTAGTGAGTCTTGACACATTCAGTACGTTGCCCAGTGGCCTAACAATTCTTTGGAGATTTTGACAACATGCGATACTTTAACGTCTACGGAAAAGATCTCAAGGATGGGCCGTATTCAGATAGTGAGCCTTTGTATCATTCTGAGCCATACTGGATCGAAATGAATGCACATCCTGGTACTCAATCTCAGTTAGCCACATTTGTGGATAACTATTCCGATGTCAAGCTGGACCTTGGCCGGGTTGATACTACGCAGCTCCGTATTGCAACTAGATTTAATAGCTTTCAAAGCATTTTCATCGCTGGTGACGATGTTGCACAAGTGATTCGCTTGTACACGTCGCTCATTGGCAGACCGCAGCTGTATCCACGCTTCGTGCTGGGAAATCATCAAGGATGTTATGGCTATGACACGCGAAAAAAGGTTGAGAATACAGTCAATCAGTATAGGAAGTACCAAATCCCGCTGGACGGCATGCACATTGATGTCGACATTCAGCGGTTATACCGCACCTTCACTATTAATACAGATGAAGGCCATTTCCCACAACCGGAAGAAATGTTCAGTCAGCTTCGGAAGCAGGGAGTCAAATGCAGCACAAACATCACGCCGGTCATTAGTCTCCTTTCTGACCCCAAAAATCCCTACCCAGTTCTTGAGGAGGGATTGAAGAACAAATACTTCGTCATGGATCGCCGTGATGTCGATCCGTCAGCGAGCTCCTATGACAAGCAAATATCTCTCAACTTTGGAGCCGGAAACAGATACTTCAAGGACCCCAACAACTTCCATGACTTACCAAAGTACGAGACCAAAGGTGACTACCAGCTTGAGCATCTTTTCAATAAGGATCCTCCAGTCCCATTCCGAGGGGGCGTCGATTACGGAGATGGTAGGGGAGCTCCAGGCTACTATCCTAACCTGAACAATCAAGAAGTCAGGGAGTGGTGGGGCAGACAATACACATACCTTTTCCAGACAGGTCTTGAATTTGTTTGGCAAGACATGACATCGCCGTGCATGGGTGAAGCATTCGGTGATATGAAATCGTTAGTAAACCTCTCAGATTATGCATTATTTGGGCACGAGGGCTAACAGCTGTGAAAGTTGGCCATTCCGTCTACTCCTGGATTCGGACGGCTGGAGCGGAGATCCCAAGGCTGCTGAACAAAAAAAGGCGATTGAGATTTGGTCTCTCTACAGCTACAATCTCCACAAAGCTACATTTCACGGTTTGCAGGAGCTTGAAAGTCGCAAGGGTAAGCGTAACTTCATCATCGGCCGTGGCAGCTTTGCCGGTGCTCAACGCTTTGCGGGACTCTGGACCGGCGACAACGCTTCTACCTGGGAATTTTTTGATATCTCTGTAACACAGGTGCTTGCACTCGGACTCGCTGGTGTGACTATTGCCGGAGCGGATGTTGGTGGGTTCGAGCCAGTACATGATGGGGAGTCTTGGGCCGACCCTGAGCTTGTGATTCGATGGTACTGCGCATACAGCTTGCTACCATGGTTTCGAAATCATTACAGTGGCAAGGAAGGCAAGAAACGCTTCCAAGAGCCTTATGCCTATGCTGAATTGCAGAATTCGCCCGACTGGAGGTTTGTGCCTGAAGAAGACCGCAATACATATTACTCTGTCTTGCCAATATGCCGCTACGTAATTCAGTTGAGGTACAGCCTGCTTCAGCTGCTCTATGATGCCATGTTTGAAAACATGATCAACGGTTTGCCGATTGCGCGTGCCATGATCATTACCGATCCATTGGACTCGTCACTCTATGATGCAAACCAATGGTATACACGGAGTCAGTATCTAGTCCGTAATGACCTTCTTGTCGCTCCAACTCTTTATAAGGAGTCTCAGCGAAAGACACGGAAATTGTACCTGCCTGCTCCGGACTACTGGTATCCCATGAACCTGCGCCCAGGAACAAAGCTATATCTAGGAGGTATTCTTGCTCAGCCTTTGGCCCCCAGGGTTAGTGGGGGTACATATGTCGACTTTGACTGTCACATCTCGAGAGATGTGAAGCAGCTACCTTATATTACACCCATGTACATCCGCGAGGGTGGCATCATACCGCAAATGGCGGCGCGTGACTGGGTACCAGATCGTACTCGGGACGACAGAGATGCTACGCCAAATCCACTAACGATCAACGTTTACCCAGGCAAGGATAACACCTACGACATGTATCTCGATGACGGGGTATCACGAGAGAGCGCCCCGTGTAATGTCTACCTCTCTGCACTACCAAATGAAGCTAAGGGAGAGGTCGTGACGAAGCTTGTCAACGCATATGGAGACCATGAGGCAAAAAGCATATTCCGACACGTAAAATTCAAGCAAACAACCACAAGTGAGTTTGGTAGTGACCAAATGAGAGACATACGGCGAATAAGAGTTTCAACACCGTTCTCGCAGTATGGAGATGACCTGGTCGAGCGGGACATTGGCCGCGAGTACCGCATTGTGGTATGGCATGCCTCAAGGTGGCCAGCGCTGGAAATGAACCTGGACGAAGTAAAAGTAAAGATCGAGGGAAATTTTGAGGTTCGCTGGGAAATGGATAAAGCGTTACATGCAACGGTGGCATGGGTTCCTGTGTCCGCTACTGCGGACGTGACGATAGAAGTCAGCTGCCCAGCCTAAAACAAGATCAAAGATTTAATTGCCGTGTTGTAATTGGATGAATAGAACTCAAATCTATCCAAGACCAAGTTCAATCAAATGACGGTGAACTTTATTTGGCTCGAATAAATTTGCAATGCCTAGAATTGTTTGCATGTTGCGTCATCTAGATACCAGATTCCGGAGGGCTGGGGTGTGACCTCTCGTTCCTTTCTGAGAAGGACAATATGATATGCTACATGGCAAACAGATACAAAAAATTGAAGCCATGCTTAGCCTAAGATACGGCTGGGTGAGGCTCACTAGAAACAAGATCGGACCGTACCGTTTCGCGCTGCAAAAGCGTTGCATGGAGGCACATGGCAGGGTCCACTAAGAAGAACAATATAACGATATAATGAAACATAGAGGTTCCCAAGTTCGGACGTCAATGCCTAAGTGTGGAAACGAGAAGGAGGTACGAACTATATAAGCATGCTTATGACCCTCAATCCGAGTATTGACATTCAAGCAGATTAGTAATAGTACATGCCTCATCATGCTTCCATTCACATTCCCAAAACACCCACACTCGGCAGGTCTCGATGCTGTTTTTGCAGTACCGGAATGAGAATAACATCCAACTTGTTACGCAATGCACTAAGGCATCCGCGTGCCCTGTTAACTCAACTATCCTCACAATATGCAGACTCAAGAAGTCGCACACAACTCTGAAATGTTCATGTATACTCCCATCACCGCGGTATGACGAGACTTCACTCGTCCTGCGAGATGACCAAACTCATCTCATAGCCGGGCGATGTGACTACATTGATGTTGAACTGAGTCTTGGCATGCTTGATGTCGCCTTTTATGACTCCCTCGTACTTTTCGGACGAGATGGAAGCACCAGCTGCGTTGAGCGCCTTGATGGCAGCGCCGCGGTCGTGGCCTTTGACCAAAGACGCATTGTAGTTTCCCATTAGTGCCGATGAAAGTCCCTGTATTGTATTCTCAGCATGCTGATTGCTCTACCAGAAGCATTGAGGGTTCAAGCTTACGAGAGTAAAGTCAAAATCGTGGCCATTATCCAGCTTCAGGCGCATCTGTATTCCGCCCATCGGCCTCGGACCCATACCGAAGATTGTGTTGCCCCCAATGCCGAACCCTCGGGTGGTCCACGCGTCGGCGTCGGGCGGGCCATTAATCATCTCGCCGTATTTCAGGTCGCCGGGCACGTAGCTGAGGTTGAATTGGGTTTTGTTGATGATCTTCACCCAGATGCCCCCGAAGTACTTTTTGAACACCTCAGTTGGCCTGACAGCGTCGGAGCCTGCCTCGTCTTGTGCCTATAGAAGATTTGTTACACATGAAGATTAACAAACGGCGATTGATTGGCGAATATACCTTCTGCCGACCTGGAGCTCGGTCCTTGCTGGAAACGATGGGGGTTTGAAGTTCGATTGCCATGTTGGAAAAGAAAACGATGGTTGTATGCGTGTGTGTGTAGATGCGATGTAAGATGTACAAGTAGTATGTGCTTTGCTACAAGTCTCACTCACAAGCATTGCCGGCCGGATTCACTCACATATATACACAGTTATGGGTGCAGGACAAGAAGTCAGGCGATCATTTGCCCGTCCTCAGCCATCCGCACCATCACTCTGGGCTTATCTTCCTCGGCTCCATCACGCAAGCAGTCGGTGCTCTAGACCAATCTCCATAGACAAATGTAGTCTAGAGATGATTGAAGATAGAAGTGGCGTCCATACACGGGGCTGAGCGATGGGAGGGCAAGCTGAACCAGAGCGGCTTGCATTCGGCCCTGGGTTAGTAGGCCGCTCGCTTCGCGTAGTCGCGCAACGAACTGGGGCTCTAGACGGATCTCCACGGACAGATTGGGGTTTAAGGGTTATTGAAGATGAAAGCGGCGTCGGTATACGGGGCTGAGCGATGGGGGGGCAAGCTGGAATAGGGTGCGGCCCGTATCCGGCTCTCGCTTATAGGCCGCTCGCTTCGCCCGGTCGGGCAAGCATAAGCCACGCAGACGAGGCTGGCGGCTGTCGGTAGTGTGGCGACCGCTTCTAGCATAGTCTTGTCTACTTCGGGTCGTCGATCACAGTCTAGGCCTCCACAACCACGGACAGAACTCACAAGCATGCTGCGAACACACTGGTGATACACCTGCATTGGCATGTGCCCTACAGCCCGACGGACATGGCCGCATAGAGCGAGGAAGCCATTCAGCTCCCCCGGCATGAGGAGCCTTCTCTACTATAAGTGCCGCTTCGGCTTGACTGGACGGCTCGCGAAGTGGTTCAGAGATCAACTCCTCACCCAAGGCAGCAAGTATGGCAGTAACACCCACAACTGTGGAGAGCTCCAGCGAAGCTCACCAGCAGAAGCTCCAAGAGCTGGGATACCTCAACCCACCCAAGATTCAAGGCGAAGACTGCGAGTATGCAGTCAATAGCCATGTTCCAGATAAAAAGCCTTTCCAGGGACATTGGCTCGAAGGTATGACATGTATGCTTATTCAACCTCTATAAATGCTAATGGCAGTGTAGCTGCTGAACACGAAGAGACAGCTCGCTTTGTGGAACTCTTCGCTATCAATGGCGATAAGCTATCCATCGAAGAGGCCCTGGTGACTGTGAAAACTAAACAAGGCGACGTCGACTTGAACTTCAGTAACATCATTGTGCTTGCGGGCGACTTCTACACCAACAAAGAAGGCTACGAGAGATACTTTCCCATCTCCAACGCCGAGGGCTTTGGAACCCTGATCAATCCGAAATCATCCAAAGCACCTCTTGCCCGCTTCGAATCGGCGGTGCAGAGCATGCTGCAAGATTCTGACGGTTACTTGAAGAAAATCAGAGAGCTCATTACCTCCGAGCACCATGCGCTCGAGGCCGCCACAAAATTTGGGGACAACACAGCCGTCGCATAGTATGTAGCCAATTGCTATTGTTGCTCTTTCTAACCATCTCAGTCATGAAAAACTCTCCTATGATGGCGACCACGGACATTGCCATATCCCAACCGACGAAGAATTCACAAACATGACAAAGACTGGCTTGACCGCCCTGTCATCCATGTATGCCTGGATCGCTTACACAAACATTGACCACTTTGTAAGTGCAGTCGAGTGCCTAGAAACTGCGAGCTAACCGGACGAGGGTGATTACGCCGTCATGGCATACTGTGTCGGTCATACCAGCGCCCTCCAGATTGCACGAAAGGCACGCAACGAGACGTCAGATGAAGCAAAGATGAAAATGCTTCGCACAGCTTACATCCACGAGGCCTTCGCAGCCCATTTTCTCACTGACCTGTTCAGCTCAGGGCATCTTCGGGCTCCTCGGCGGGCCTTCCACAACCCGGCTTATGTGTCTATGGTACCTCATGCTGTGAAGAAAGATGCAGTCTGGGACTTTCAATGTCGCTATGTCAGTACATGACCCTTGTTTGTGAGCCAAGCTAATGGGAATAGATGCACGACGACGACAGCGCGACCGGCCTCTTGGTTCGCAATAAGCTTGGAGACCAATGGATTGAATATGGTGAGAAGATTTTAATTAGGCTCGAGATCTGGCTAACGCGTCTTAAGGCGATAAGCAATTCATGGAGCCACAAGCCTCAGTGAACCGCGCTCGATGGTATGCATCGCACGCATTTCTTGCAAGCTGCGTAGATTGCTGACGATAACAGCATGGATTGCCTAAAGAAGTCAGCTGCCGAGGTGTTTCGTGATGGATACAAAGGCGACAAGCCGATTGAGGATTGGGAAAAGAACAAGAGCTGGTTCAAAGCCATGGACCTCGTGCCCCAGCCAATGACCGCTATCGAACCCCAGAACTGGAAGAAGGAGGGATGGGGTGGATACGACAAGCATAACCCTGCCCCGCTGTGGATAGCTTTGCACGACAACGCCACGGAAAGCAAATGCACAGTTCGTAAGGACCTAAACGACCATTCCAACTACGGCGCCCGACGGGCTCAATCCCCAGGTGACACCGGCTATGGCAACACCATCCAGGCTGCTGACTTCGTGGTGAAAGGCCAATTCCCGATGCAGTTCTCACTTGACGGGTTGCTATCTGGCGGGTTTATCCAGATCCAGGATCTCGACGGTAACGGCAGCGAGGGCTGCTGCATCAACTTTTGGACCCCTGCTGAAGTCAAGTTTGCGGACAAGACTCAGTCAACATTTACCATTCACAACAGGCTCATTGATCAAGATATCGCGCCAAGCAGAGAGGTCCTGCATTGGATGCCGTCCGGCCAGAGAACTGGCATCATCGGATTCACCTACGCAGCGAAGGCCGATGGGAGCGGTGATATCAACATGACGGAGACAGTATATACATCGGATCTAAGTCCCGACGGGCTGTCCGACGGCACCTGCGCTACATTCTCAACAAAGAATCCCTGGCGGATGCGTGTTATGGGGGTCAGACGCGCGACCATCCTCAGCAACATCCCCGCTGGTTTTATGCTGAATCTGACTCGCTTTATCGATGGCTACTTCGTAGCCGAAAGGGAAATGGTCGCCGTCTCACAGTCTGAGAATCAGTTGCTGGTTGGAGTACTAGGTAGCAGCTTGGTGCAATCGACGCTGTCTCTACCTAAGGCGCCCTACGGCTTTGTCAAGCCGTTCAGAGGTGCCGGTGCTTCCAAGCAGAGCATCTTGCTGGCGCGCGCCGGTCCTAAGGAGGACAGTGAGTGGGTAAATTTAGCAAAGATTGACTTTGACGATGCTGGTAACGCCAAGCTCGTGACTGCAGACTTCGACCTCGAGCTTGAAGCTGAAAATGACGCATCGGTGCTCGTGGGCGACGTCATGGGTTGGGGCCACGATCAAGTCGTGGTCGTCAAGCCCACGCCCGACGACAGGACCACTGTAGCCACTTACGGCCAACAGAGTGGAAGCTCTGACATCGTATGCGTGGGACTGCACCAATGCGACACGGCTCTGGTCAGTGTCCTCGTGGGCCCTCTGCTTACTGCACTCGTCCCATCTCTTCCCGGGTCACCCAACCCGGCGGGCCATGACCTGCTCCAGATTTCGCGCCGTAAGAACGGAAAGAAGCATGTCATTGCCTTCCATACGCACGCAGCCAGCGGGGACGCGAGTGATCCTCTTTGCAATTGCGTCGGGTCTGAGGTCGAGGACGCGCTGGCGTCGCGCAGCCCGGAACACTTTTTCAGCATCAAATGGATGCCAGTACGAGTGGTTGGGCAAGCGCGTGCGGTGCTCGAGGTCTTCAGCTGGTATGGCGTGCTGGGGGTGCGTGTGTTCACTTGCCCTCAGACTGGAGATGGAGGCATGGGCGAGTGGACATTGCACGGCCAGTTTCCACATCTCGGCCAGACGTCCATAGGCGCTGGGCTGGGATGCTATGGCGATTGGGGCCATGGATTTGTGGCGTGGGCGGAGGAGAACGAGTGGACCGACGCCAACACGTTCAGGCCGGTGAGGAAAGACGACTTGAGCTTAGGATGGTGGGGAATGGTGTGGGAAGATTGTGATAGACCGAGTGTGCGCGGGTGGGATGTAGAGAGGCGGCCGTTGCGGTAGCTACAGTACGATGTCGGCGCTAAGCTACTATAGGCCTCATCTCAAGCAATGTTTTTTTTCAATATAGTGCACTTTTTGCTTGTAATACTAAGTCACATGTCTTTGAACTACCCCTCTCAATTCACATGCCCAATGTTCATCACTAGTGCTTGTTCAATGCCTCGGATTCCATCCGGGTATAACAACTCGAAGTATACCTGCATGTGAATGCTGATCCTATGGACATTAGGGTAAGACAAGCTTCCCCGCAAATTCGTCCCGTCGCCATGCAAGGGGCACCAGCAGGGATTGACAACTCCACGAACCACAGCTGGTACATGTGACCACAACTTCAAATATCTGTGACTACTGCCTTCCCTATCGAGTCGACGTCTCCGATGTTTCCCCGCGTCTCCTCGTCACAAATCAAGGAAAGTGATGCAAATCGTAACAACAGATACTCTTGAGGCCGAACTTCAATAGCAAGAAGCATGTGTAAGCTGGAATTGAGTAGAGAGCTGATACTCTGCAATGAGGTATAAATTCATCGATGAACCGCCCTGCAACAGGAAACTACAACTCTCGCCTCGCAGTCAAAAAGCAACCAACATCAGCAAACATGCAGTACCAGTCTACTCTCTCCATTCTCCTGCTCCTAGCAACTTCTGTCTCTGCCCAAACCCGCTGCGACCCTGTCGCCTCCGCCATCCCAACCTGCGGTGTCAGTCTCCAATTTCCTCCCCTTCTAGCTTTCACAGCTGACATTTCCCATAGGTTCCCTGCATCCAATCCGCCGCGTCCGCCGTTGGTTGTGGCGGAGCTGATTATTCGTGCCGATGCACCAACTCTGCTGCCATCCAAAATGGTGCGCTTGGGTGCGTAGTCGGCAATTGTGGAATTGATACGGCGCTGCAGGTGCAAGCTAGCGCAAGCGCGGTTTGTGCTTGCGTTACTGGGGCTGCAAGGATCTAATCGACTGATACAGTTGTACACTCAAGAGTCTGAGAGACGAGAGTGCACAAACTGACGTTGTCGAATCACTGGAGCAAATCGGAAGTGACAAGAGTGTATATAGCTTATAATTCGAAACCTCTTGCTTCACCACACTCCTTACTATTGCAAACATTGCGATGGCATTGAAACTGGTTTCTGAGTTGGTTCCAAACCTTTGCCTCTGCCTTCGCTTGTTCACTAGGCTAATCTCTATCTTCTTCACACTGCATGAATATCGAGAAATTAAAAGTCTCTCAATGTGTTGCGCTACAAGAGATGCCGTTGATAAATATCCTGGTGTGACTCGCACCGCCCTGTTTTTCCGCTAAAATAAGGCGAAGGCAAGCTAGGACCTATCACTACCATGTGCTCAACTGAAAGTTTTTTTGAAAATGATCAACCTGAAGAGCTATCCATGTCCACACTCGCCTGGTATCAGTTTTCTCCTGCACCGCTAAAACTAGGTTAGTAGAGTCTAATCCGGTCAATAAATCAAGCACTGCCTTTCTAATTATTAACATGATTACTAGAGCTTAATCTAGTCTATCATTTGGGCTCCACTATTCGTACGCTATACTATATATTATAATCTCTTTATGCTGACATATGTAGAGTACGAATGGAGGCGACCCGTCTGCACGATAAAAATTACACTCCCACTATGTCGATACGTTCAATTACGGGCACCTGGGATTGCCATATCCACTGTTTCGAGCCAGACAAATTCCCGTTCAAAACGCCTCGGGCCTATACTCCATGTCCCGCGCCAGTCGACCTGCTTCTTCAGAACCTGCTCACGAATAATGTCATGATTGTCCAGGCGTCTGTCGAAGCATCCATGGATGGTCTCCTTGCAACCCTCGAATACTGCGGCAAACGTCCGGACCACTTCTCGGGGCTGGTCCGAGGCACCGTCCTCGCCGACGCTAGCACGCCACTTTCGTCTTTGACCGATAGCCAGATAGAGCGGATGCACCTCCTAGGTGTCCGATGCATCCGACTCCACGGGGTATATGGGGGTTTGGGGCAGGACCCCGCATGGGTGCAGCGCCAAATGACGGCGCTGGCGCAAGTGAGCCAAGTGCGAAATCTGGGGTGGAAAATCTCGGCCCAGTTGCCGCTCGCAACATGGTCGCAACTCAAGCATTTCATCTTGACAGACAAGCATCTGGCTGGCCTTCCTATTGTGGCAGACCACATTGCTTGTGCGACTCCATCTGACCATGGAAGCTTGGCATTGCACGACTTTGTAGAGCTGCTCCAATCTGGTCGCGTCTACGTCAAGATCTCGGCCCTTCACCGCCGCAGCCCACGGAATATCCATGCCATGAGGGACATAATAAGCTTACTGGCACGATCTGCTCCCCAGGCCTTGTTATGGGGTAGCGACTGGCCCCATGTAGACGCGTCACAAAACGACTTCGAAGCGGGTCCGTTAGAAGGGGCAGACCCCAGCGCTGAATTGGCCGCTGTTCAGAGCTGGCTGTCTACGGAGCAATTCCAAGACATGCTGGTGAACAACCCATGCCGACTATTTGGCAACTAAATTACATTTTTCATAGTTCACTGTGCTGGCTAGAGGACCGGCTGTCCCCGAGCGGCTTTCGTCCACAATTATGTAGCAGGAACTCATCGGAACACGGCCGCTTAACCGGCCAAGCGCTCTGTCCCCCAAATATCCTTACAATATATATGTTCCCAATAGCAAACTGAAGAATCTCGTTAGAAATTGATTACGCAGACTTCATTCGTGATTTTCATCCAACTACCCGTAACATGCACGCTGCACCGGTGACCAACATGAACAAAGTCGACAGAGACATCGACAAGCTGTCGTGCACCAATCATATAGAATCCTCGGGCAAAGCTGACACTGTCATTGAGAGTTACAGATCGTACACTCCAGAGTTCGCCAAAGAGATAGAAAAGCAACTCGTACGAAAGATCGACAGAAGGCTCCTCCCTCTTGTCGTCATCATCTATCTATTCAACTATCTCGACCGTAACTCCATTACCCAAGCCCGCCTCTATGGGCTGCAGGAGGATACTCATGTTACCGGAGCTCTCTACCAAACAGCCATATCCATCTTCTCTGCCGGATATATCGCAATGCAACTGCCTGCAACTATACTTATGACCAAACTACGCCCTTCTCTGTATCTTGTACGTTCTGAATTTCTTATTTAAACTCCTATTCCTTCCTCTTGGCGGCTACAGCTGACCTTTTTGCTAGCCTAGTTGTATTATCACTTGGGCTATTGTTAGTGGCTGCACCGGCGCAACGAGCTCCGCAGGTGGCCTTCTTGCAGTGCGCTTTTTTCTAGGGCTTGTAGAAGCTCCGTTTTTCCCCGGTGCCGTATACTTGCTCAGCTGCTGGTATACCAAGCGCGAGCTGGGCGTTAGAATCGCTCTGCTGATATGTGGACTGTTGCTGTCCAATAGTTTTGCGGGTCTCATATCTGCTGGCATTTTGTCTGGTATGAAGCATGTTGGGAAACTAGTAAGAAAAACCCATTCTATTACACACTCAATGCTAAACATCTATAGGCTACATGGAGGTGGCTGTTCATATTGGAGGGTCTGGCCACAATTGTCGTAGTAAGCATCACTTTTCTTGATTGCGAAATCGCCGTCATAGTCTGATTGTCATCTTCTTTACAGGGATTATGTGCCATGATTTTTCTCCCCGACTATCCAGCCACTACAAAGTGGCTCTCAGAAGACGAGAAAATCGTCGCGCAAGGACGGCTGGCTGCAGATGCCGGCAGCGAGAGCACGCTAGGGGAAGAAGATGTCAAAATATGGAGTGGAATCGTCCTCGCATCGAAGGACGTACGGGTATGGCTGTTCGCGTGCCTACAGATGGCAGTCACAGCATCAATATCCTATTCTCACTTCTTCCCGACACTGATCAAGCAGATCGGCTTCAAGAACAACACTACGGTACTCCTGCTCACGTCACCCCCATATCTGTTTGCATTCATTTGGGCCCTTAGTTTCGCCGTGGTCGCCGACAAAAAACAGAATCGATCTATCGGGGCTGGGATCTCGGCTGTGGTGGCCATGCTGGGATCGATACTCATGATGACCATCCTCGACAACCACTGGGCCAGATATGGATTCACTTTCCTCGTCTGTGTCGGCACTTTTGGTGTCTTCTCCACGACCTATACCTGGCTATCTTCGACTATACCTAGACCACCAATCAAGAGGGCTGCAGCCATCGGTATTGCCAACACGTGCGCAAATACGGCGTCTCTGTTCGCAAACTACTTTTGGCTTGATCAATATCAGCCCGTCTTCACTGTGTCCTGGGGTTGCACATTAGCGTTTCAGACACTAGCTTTCTCTTCCATTCTAGCCCTGTGCTTCCTCTTGCGGCGTGGTAACAAAAAATTCGAGAGGTTGGCTCGGACGACCGATCGCAATGACGCAGATGCTATAGCGCGATTGGACGATGATTCACAACGTGCTATCCTAAACGGTTTCCGATATATCACATAGCTAGCGTGTATCTGTTAGACTTATGGGATACTTCTCTATGATTGATATACATAAGACCTTAATGGATATACCAATCCATATTAAAAAAATTATCCCTTTAATCCCCATCTCAAGGACGAACTGGCGCTGAAAGAAATATGTCTTGATAATTAACCCCTGGTCGTCCGCACGAACGATCAAAACTTGGGAAATGCAGCTGGAATAGGGTAGAGGGTTCTGGCGCGCCGCTTGATTCTCGATGGCTTCCTCAGGTTGCTTGGCTTGAAAACAAACCAGTTCACTGCTTGATTGCACAAAACATTCTTTAAAGAAGTTCAAGTAGCATTCAGCGTGCCAGATGTTTGAGTCTGGCACTTCTGACGCTATTCACGGTTGTCATTACGTTAATATCCGGCGAAGCAATAGGGAAGAAAAACGATGTCACATGTTGCTTTTAGAATAACCACCATCAATCGACTTACTGATTCTAACAGACGGATCTAGGAGTGAAGCTGAGGAATACAGGTTAATGTGACATATCTTATGCACAACCTTTTTCTCTCGCTGGCCTTCAGAATATCGCATGATATCGATCTCTTCTAGGGACAAGTCGGCATACTCCGGGGTAAAAGACGAAGTTGCCTCCCGCTGTTCAGCTCTGGTAGGTTAGTTCCAATCACCATTTTTGTGTAAAGGAATGAGCCCGGAGACAAGGCCATGTGCAGTTAGCAGATGCCTGGGCCATGTGCGGAGAAGTATGATGTGGGTTAATTTGCTCGGGGTCCTCCGCACACTGCCACTAATCCAAGGTCGAACCAATCGCACTACTTCCGAACCCTGCAATTGCAATATTACGTGTCTCCACCTAGCAATTTGACTTATAGTATCTATCGTGTGTTGGGAGACATTCAAACTACAGTCGAGATTAAGACTACATTTATACTGGACAACAGCTAAACAGTCTACGACATCTATTAGCGGCGGACCATATGGCGGCGACTCGCTTCATTGATTTTACCGATCTCCCTGTGGACAAGAATGGTCCTCATGGCAATGCTTGGGGCTTGTGGGGACTGGATGATCAGCTTGGAACACTTAATTATCTTACTGATGAGGTCGTTAAAGTCGCAGCAAAAGAGGAAATCCGCACTGGGGTGCGTGTCTCTCTAAAGTCAGTAACATGAACGATGAGCGTTAAAAGGTTTAACAAGTCTGATAATGACAGTTGGTCTATGATGGGACCATCCAAGCCTCGGTTCCCAAGGAGGTTTACAGAGGCAAAGCTGATCAACAAAGCACCAATGAAAACCGCGCATGACGAAGAGGTTAGCAACACACATTTCTAGAGGCTTGAAGCTTGACACATGATCTTATAAGTACGCTATAGTTGCACTTTAATACGCAGATTAGCTCGCAATGGGATGGAACCAGACATTACGGCTATCAGAACGAGAAGGTGGGAGAAGGTTATCCATCATGAGCCTAGCTACTCATAACATTCTGCAGGTTTACTTCATGGGCCATACTGCGGAAGAGTTCAACAACTCAAACGTCAACGGTCTACAAAGTATACTCGTACCTCTACAATTGTATCAATCCGCATTGCTGATATGAGTCAGATATGGCAAAAAGAGGAATTGCTGGAAGAGGCGTGTTGATTGATTGGTATAGATGGATGGAAGAGCAAGGTGACATAGATATTGACACCTTTTCGGCCTATGGTATCACTTTTGATTCGCTTATTATTATTATTCCATTATAGTCCTGTATCAGCCGTTGGCTATGTAGGACTTTGGCCAAAGGCCGTTCTATCTAACTAGTTACAATTTGGTACGTTGTGCTATATTGCGTGACTGTGGTGCTTCGGCCTTTATCTAGC